TCATTACTTTTAAATCATTGCTTAAAAATTATGTAACATTTAGAAAGTTACATGCAATTTGCATGCTGGATGCAGCTGTGACTAAATTATGCTGCTGATGCTGCTAGTTATAGGACCAGTGATTTTCTTTGTTCCATGTAGAAAAGCTGCCCAGTGATATTAGCAAACTACTGAGTGAATATCTAAGTGCAGTACTTCTACAATAAATAGTTTTGTCATCACAATTTAGAATTTAGAGTACATAAGTGTGGGAGAGGAAGATAAATGTAAAGAATCTTTCCTCTCATGCATTTCCATGTCCTGGCATCAGTGACATCAGCCAGTTAGGTTTCACCCTGCACTGTAAAGGGATGAGAGCAGATGGGTAGACTGGACAGAACTACCCCTGACTACACCTGCCTATGATGGATCCCCCCCTCTATTAATGTATTTATGTCTCTTCTCCACAGTGTGCCTGGTTACACACAAAACTGCGCTGTACCTGTGGTCACAAAAATTCCGAAACTTGTTGGACACACCCATATGTGCCTGGAATTTATACACAAGTTTACTACTGCAAACTATTTTAGGAAAATAAAGCTCAGAGTGAATTACAGACTTCTGTTTCTTTTTATGGAGTTGCTGAATTGATTTGATTTGTACGTCACTCACATTATTCTCAGTTCTCAATATTTTTGTTATTTCATACACTCAATAATTTAAAAAAAGAATAGATTCATCAATAGTACAAATAATCACTCATTGCAGCCAAAATATTGGCCCCCAAAAAAACCTGCAGGAACTTAAGAAAGAAACACTAGTGTTGTCTCAAGTAAATTTTTCATTTTGGTAAAAACCCTTTTACCTTTTAGCATCATTGGTCCCCAGTGTGAAGACCTCTGGGGCCATATAACTCACTGAATCTGGCGACTCTGAATTTGTGGTTGACTGAGATGTTTTTGTACTGCGTGGAAAAAACAAACAAAAATAAAACAAATACATGAATATCATGCACACAAACACACACATACATAGTCTTACCTTTCTATAGGTGTGAGTACACCCAGTGACATAATGAACTCCCTTTACTATCACAAGTAAATGCCTAAGTGCAGCCTTAACCCTAATGCTAACCTAAACCTCATTCTGTGAGGACCGACTAAAATGTCTTCATAACAATGGCACTGAACAAAAATTTGTCCACACAATATAATAATGTTTCCGTAGTTTTGTTGATACATGATGTGAAAAGTAAGAAGTAAAACCAATGCAGCAAACAGCCATTAAAAATGAGCCTTTCTTCAAATGTTACTGCACTGTGACTTATTTCATGACCTATTCCAAAATGTTCGTCTTGTGTTTCTTGAAGTAGTTCACAGTGGATTTTGAAGTCTGCTTTTGATCATGGTCCTGTGGCAGAATCAGCCTCGTTTCACTTTTAGTTTTTTACTAACTGCATGATATTTACATTGAGAACCTTTTGGTAGTTCAGTGGAATCTATTCATTCCTGTCCGGTACAGTATTTGCTGCTTCACCACCCAGATTGGCAAGGATGTGTTAAGTACTGTACTGTCTAAAACCTGTGCACATTCCACAATTACTCTGTCTGTCTAAAGATCATAAACTAAAAAGTAAAGTCAATTTTATAATCACAATATCACAAATTTGCCTTGGAGGGCTTCACAATCTGTAATGCATAAAATAACTTTTTAGAATTAGGTCTATTTTTTATGTCTGTTTGCTAATTTTCTCTCTTCAAAAAGAAAATCATTTTTTCAAGGATGTCCAAACTAAGACACTACAAACAAACATACAAACGTATACTTTAGTTAGTATATTACCCTATAAAATATTAA